TTACAAAATTTAAACTTCATTATGTACTATTTCTAAACTTCGGTGGTAAAATGAAGAATTATATTGAAGAATTACTTACTATCCATTCCACAGTGAATTTTAAGACAAGTGGACAGGAATTGGGAAGCAAGAAAAAATTTCTGTCACTTCAGTCTATTGTCAGGGCCCTAATACATCCATGAATACAAGTCTGGAAAACAACTATCTGTTTACAAAAACAGAAGAGTATTTGCCTTTTTTTTTTTTTTTAACTGAAGCAAAAAAATGGTTTTCTAGGTTGAAATTGTTGTATTTTATACTGCAGGTTTTTGTGAAGCAACAGGTTTTATATGAACCGTGCACTGAGCATTGTCATCACTTGCTTTAATGAAACAAATGTTCTAAAAATTATCAAAACTTGTAGCATTGAGAGATTTCCAAAGAAAGGCAGTGTCCACCACGGGATTTCTTTAGTTATTTCTAAAAGATATTTTATGTGTGGTTCTAAGAGGGCAAGAATATGTATTTCTGCAAATAACAAATACTTGAAAAATGCAGGTTTAGTTCCTTCCTAGGTAAGAGTAGATTCAATTGTCATTTTTGGAGCCTTCTAATTTACGAGGTGTAGGATTAGAAATGATACTTCTCTTTAATATCCCTAAATGAAAAAGGGATATTCCAAAAGCTTGTTTTCCTTTCCTTTTTGTTTAACATAACCTCTGGCATCAAAGAATCCCACTAGAGTTCTTGTAGTCCCTGTGTTGTTCTGGTTAGACTAAACCTCAACAAGAATTCATTCATCACTAAAAAAACATCATTTACACTATTTCAAACTAAGACTAAGTTATGAGTAAGATTTAAACTGAGAAAGCCACCAGTGAGTTTTGGAGACAGTTTGCTTTTCCTGTTTAGATTTTTATTGCAATCATTAACCAGCTGCACAGGCAGAAAGAAGCTTTATTTTCTTTGTGTGTATACAAGGAGCTTTCTGTTTCAAATCTGCTTTAATGAAAAGAAAGTGAGCCTTCAGAGTCCTAGCAGGAGCCCTGTATTTCGATGAAGACAAATCAATATTCTCTTGGAAGATTAAGCTTACTATTTTTCAATGCCAACACAATCTACTACAGGACTTGAGGAAGAAGTTTCACCCGTAACAGTTATCCCAGAAGTAGTACTAGGGTTCTTGTCACTTACCATTGAAGTGGTTTCTTTTGATCTTGAGAAGGGTTGGTGATTTTCTTTCACAGCAGGGACTTCACCAGCTTACCCAGGTTTGGTTTTTGATAGGGTGCTAGAAGATGGGCAACCTAGCCTTGCCCTGTGGCTCTCTCTCCGAGCTGGATATTCTAGGTCTAGAAGTTGACTGGGAGCAGAAAAGACAACACATTCCCCTTCAATAAACAGGTGAAGCGGGGCCTGGTACTTGCACATATGTGTTTTAGATAAAGCCTTCTTAAGGAATGATTTTTTCCCCTTAATTGGCATGCATTCCCTGAAGGTTTTAAGACTGATAGAGAGCCTTACACATATTTCAGACTCAGAGAACTTTTTTTAGTCTATACCTAAAATGTTTGTACCTCAACCATGACGACACTTTCAGATGGCACTTCTCCTTTGCTTCTACTGGCAAACATATGTTGTCAAGTAAAATCAAGGCAGCATTTCACCTCTTAGAATGAACAACTCCACCTCCATTTAGAGGAAAACTATTTTTATAGATTGGTGGGATATGGATACAGATACATGTGATTACTGGAATTATTTGTCTTTCTGAAACAGGTACCTGAAAAGCTTTTCCTCCGATGAATAGTTCAAGAGGCCAAAACTGAGAGAAGCCCAGCTACCAGAGGTAGACAACCCTCCCTTTAGGCAGAGTGTCTCAAATCCTTCTCGACATGCTATTTTTACATTGTTTCCAGTCTTTGGTCAAGCACCTACCCCAATCATAGAAAAGTAAGTTTTTAATTACATTTCAACAACATTCTTATCAGGAACCAAGAAAAAAGTTATATTATACCACACAACACGGGATCATTCCCCCATAAAAATGGCATTAAAGCAATATTCCATCTTGCTTTATCAGGCAAAACCCCACATAAATCATCATGACCCAGTTCCACAAAAAAGTCAGATGCAAAGACAATGGCCTATTGCTCCAAGCGAAGGAACACCACAAAGTTACAAAGTGTTTATTTAGAATCTAGGTTGAAGCTCTCCAAGTACCTACCCACAAGGTTAAACCCCTGCTTTTTGTTTCAAAAGGAGGTTGCTTAAAATATTCAGACCAGACTAAGGAACATTATACACTAAAGAAAGCAGTAAGGGAAGCGGCAATGCAAAGTTTTACAGAATTCCCTATCCGCATAACTCTGTTACTGCCAGGAAAACAGACCACGGTCTCTGTGTTCCTTCTGTCCCCTGCATGCCTCGTTAGAGGCTGCTGGCAAGTGCAAGGTATTTTTCCCCATCATACACACACATCCACTCAGACAATTAGCTTCATTCATATCAGTCTGCCACAAAAAAAATCTATTTTCAAACAGTAAGGACGCCTGCTAGATATACACCAGTATTCAACAGCAGCCAGACACCGCACACCTTTTTCTTGAGTGGTCTTTCGTCCAAACACTAAGCTGACCAAATCAGTAGTTAAGTTCAGATGCCACAGTCCGCACAATTTTGGATAAGTATCTTTCACTTATAAATGAAGATGCAGGAAAAAGTTACTGAAACAAGAATCAAAACCAGACTTACTGATCCAGAGCACGTTACTTTGAGAGGCAGATTAAAATTCAAGACATGCTGTATAAATTTGCTCATACTAAAAAAAGGAAAAACCCACATACTATCTTCATTAGCTACATTAAAATACAGAGTATTTACAAAGAAAGTAATTAACCCGAATCAGCTATGCAGACAAATTGCAAATTACCCCATAAAACACAAAATCTAACCAGCCAATCAGGTTCATGTCAGCTGCAGTGCAGCTATTACCAAGTAGATTTGTATCAAAAAGCACTTTCATAGAAGTATCATTTTTGTTAGGTTGGTGAGGAAGGTGTTTCTGTAGCCATTGCTTAGTATTTTACTATTGGGAGGAAAAAGTGGATGGTTAAACGGCATGTGCCAAGACATAATGTATAAATTAGTAACAAACTTTAGATCATATTCACCAACTGGCTGACTCTTGCCCCTCATTGGAATAACACCGTATAACTAAAGATCAATTTAATTATAATTTTAAATAGCACACAGCACTGTCCCCAGAGTCGATCTTCGCTGAATTAGGGGAAAATACACCTCTTCTCCTTTAAGAATATTTATATCATTTACTACATAGGATCACTTATTTCCTTCAAACACGATATACATACAACACTGACATTCACTTATGCCAAGTTTAGCATCTTTGGGTTTTTTTTTTCCCCAGTTCTTGCATGTTTTAAAGTGTAAACCCCAGTGTCCTGATATTTATTTACATAAATATCCTCCTCAGATTTTGTTTAAATGATAATAACACTTCCTTGCTACCCCTTCATTCAATTTCTCTTAATTTCTGTACATAAACGTTATCATCAGATGGAAAAGACATTTCAATCAAAAACCAGCTTTTTGTACGTCTGAGTACACACACCTACAGGAATGCAGGAATACAAGTATGTAGAGGAATTGATTAGCTGGCAGGTACGTTTAACTTAATAGAGCCACTAATGCAATATTAGTAATGATCACAAGTAACCACATTTCACACACATTTTTTTAAGACAGATTATATAAAGTGTACCATAAAGTTCTAGACTGAAACTATTTTTCTTTGTTCTGGCTTCTGTATGTATTAACCTCAGCTAATATAAGTTCTTGTATTAAATTAAGACAGTAGTAATGAAACATACATATTTCCTCTTACATAATTTTATTTATTCTAATGGGGGAACATAGTACTAAAATCATCTAGTCAATATCATAAGTACAGAATTGAATTCAGATACAGGTAACACTAGGATGATACTTTAAACTTAACCTTATACTCTAATTAAGAGCCTTCTCTTACTTTGGAGCAGAAGGAGGAAGGCCTGTGGTCAGACCAGAGCTCCACAAGTTTGGGGTACGGAAAAAAGTGGATTGAGCTCCAGCCAACATAACCAAGAGCATGGCAGTTCATAAAGCACATTACAACAAAGGTAAAGGGATAGAAAGAATTTTCTCTGCTGCCCGCTGGGGAAGAGAAGAGGCGTAGGATGTGCAATTCTTAGGCTACACCTACAATTCAAAAGCTTTTCTGCATTTCCAGAAGCTACCTCATAATCACTGTCGGAGAACTTATTGCCTGTAAGGAAAAAAGTCTTTACAGAGAATAGCCCTAGCTAGGACCTTGTTTTCCCTTTCACGGAGACAGAGAGGTCCAACATCCAGATTCTTATGGGCCAACTTAAAACTAATCATAAAAAATTGCTGAGTAGGTAGAACAAATAAAGTTCAACGCCCTGTAACCCAGAAGTGTATCAGTGAAAATGAGTGGTGTATGAGCACAGATGAATACTCCTAAATTCATCTCTTCAGGTAATGACCATGAAGACAGATAAATTTACTCATGTCTAGATCAACAGTGGTAGATTAGAAAAAAGTTAATACTGTACAGAAAGATGATGTCCAGTTACATAATAAAAACTGACTTAATGGATACAAATTACTTCACACATGCAGACAAAGGCATATCACGTCATTCTCTAAGTACGTATGTATATGTACATGCACATACATATGTGTGTGTGTATGCATACACACCACCAAAACGCAGGGAAATCAACTTTGGTTAAGTATTACACAGCAGGCATACTCCCACACTTCTAAATGTGCTTTCTTAAGCCTTAACTTACCTCATGAACTAGCATCACAAACTGGAAGTTTTACGTTTTGGTTGTATGATGGCATTCTTCTCCCCTCCCTAAACTCATAAGCAATGATGCACTCAGTTTAAGAACAAAAACGTTGCTGCAAAGTGAACTAGACAAATGAGATACTTACTTATCAAAGCTATCACTATATTTTATGAAGCTCTCCAATTTTTCCTTGGCATATTCTACCACATCTGAATGAAGCTCTATTCCATGATTTATCCCAAAAGGTCCTGTAAATAAAAACAGCAGGGTGGGGTTTTTTTGTTGTTTTTTTTTAGCACAGCACAACCGCATGGAACAGCATTATACCTTTCATCTGTGAAAGCACTAACATCACATAAAACACAAGTCTCCCAACACTGCTAGACAAAGTTATTTTTTGCATCTGCATTACCAATGCTTAAGAAGGTAAAAGGCCAAAGGATCAACGAAAGAACAGGGACAGACTGTGGCAAAACAATTTTATAGAATGAATTTTCTTCATAAGCATGCAGAACAAAAAATGAATCTGACCACACGTAAGTCAGTCTGAGCAACTTTTTTCAACACAGTATTTAGTTGGAATACAACAATTTCAAATTATGATTTAGTCTATATTTTGGTATTTAAATTTTGAAGTTTTCTTACGGCAAAATTTTCAGCTTTTGACAATTCAGAGATTGGGTATTATATCCCTTAGCCACATCTGTTCTTCTATTTTGCAGTTTCCAAAATCAGAAGTCTGCTCCTGATTTACTTATATAATAATTAATTTCCATCTAGAACATTTAAATTGACTACGTTGTGTTCACTCATCACCATGCCATCACAGTTGCAACACTGCTTTCCTGCAATCAAATCCAAGTATATTTCCAAGTCAATTTGTGTGCCAAAAGTTAATGCTATTTTTCCAGAACAAGAAGAAATTACAAGACAGTATTATGAGGATTATCCACATCAGGAAGGAATCTGAATCAGATAGTCACATTTGCTGTGGGGATTCTATATTTAACATGCACTCATAGCCCAGGGACTTCAGCCACTGGGAAAGGGAGAGGGAAGGGGAAAAAGGGAAAGTAAACATCAATAAGATTAGACAAAACTTATATTTATATTCTCTACTACATTTTAAATCTTTCATAAATATTTAGCTCAAAGTTGTTACTCCAATGAAACAGAATTCAATTTGTCTTTTCTAGCACACCAATTAACAAAACAGACCTAGGGTTACTGAGAAAGGTTTTATTTTACTGCAGGAAAAAAAATAGTATATGCCACTAAGCTGATTAATAATTGCAATTCTTACATAGTTTAGAACATTTTCTACTAGGTGAAATAAAACCAATCCAATAGTTTACCATAGGCAGTGCTCCTAAGACCTCTCTGATGGCAAGCAAGAGGTAGGTAGATCGTCCAAGGGATGCTCTTAGAACTTGTGAAAACATGTACCTCCTGTTGACACTCATACCTACTGCAAATTTAGGTGATTATCTATCACATTAAGAAAAGCATTAGCATAGGCAATCCCTTCCTAGCTGTTTAATTATTTAATGTTCTCTTGCACAGTAATAGGCTATGATGTTTCTAACCAGTGTAGTTGCATTTCTACAGCATGCAGTAGCATCCAAGGTGTGTTTTCTTTAATTAAAAATTAATCGCCATTCCTTTAACCTCATAATTTAAAGTAAACTAAAAATGCATTGACATCATCTGTCCCAAAATTCACATATACATTCCTTTCAATACTCAATTTTGAAAAACAAAGAACTTAAAAACCCACAAATGTCAGTTGCTCCAACAGCTTGAAATGAAATCTATGAATGCAAGACACCACCACATCATGATACACCATAGTATTCATAATCTGGACAGAAATATGAGAAAGATGTTCTCTTCTTTCATCAGGAAAGTCACAGCTGTACATTTAAGCAAAGAGTCAGCCCCTCTAAAAACGTAAAACCGAATTCTCTGTTACTCTCCAAAGTCAAATGGCCTCTTTCAGTGTAATGAGCTAGCAATTCCACCATCTAGTCTGAACTACGTTTACATTTTAACGGTATCAACAACAGTTAATTTAATCTCTATGCAGTGGTGTTGGTTTTTTTAGTATGTTGTGGTACTTACAAGTGTTTACCAGTTTCAAATTATTTGCTCACTTAATCTAGTTATTTTGACAACGTGGCAGAAATACTACTCACTACATTGTCAAATTGAGAGATATTCAACTACTGTCTAAAAACACATGGTTCTCTGCTACTAATTGCAGCGCACACCGAAATCGGTTTATAAAAATGTGAGCTTTTAAAAATATGTATGGTTTATTTGTCAGAAAATTACTTCTGTTTATTTTTCTTTATTAAAGCAGCTGTTCCCTGGTTTAAAACAAACACTAAAATAAAGAATGATTACATGCAACTAGTAATTTTATCAAAGGGAGCAGAGTAAGAAAATAAAGGCACACAAATTGTATTTATACCTTCCATGCCTCAGCCTAGCACCCAAACCACATTATAACACTAAGCAGACTTTGGAGACTGGGTACAGCACTACAGAAACATGGAAAGTCTGCTGTGAGTAGCTGAGCAGTCGCTGCTCCAGGCTCCTCAGCAATGCTAAAGAAGCATCAGCACCTGAGCTGGCTCTGTGGGAACATCTGCAGTGTAACCGTGCTCCTCGGGGGCTGCCAGCCAATCTCACCCTCTGTCGAAGACAAGTCTTTTCCTGTTTAATTTCTTCAACTCCACATATAATGTTCTGAAGGAGAGGAATTCTGCTTGATAAGGGGAGGTCAAACCCAGGAGCATTCAATAGCCAACCAACAGCCACTCAAAATAGGTTAGATAAATACACAGATACATGTGCAATATACATAAGCCACAATTTCTTTTTTAAACATCGTAGTTAAGAAAGAATAATGAAATAACAAAGCTTTCCACAAGGCAAACAAATGAATACCATTACTCACTACCCTGAGCAAACATTTTAGAGAAAAAAATGCAGCAATATTTAGTAACTGTTTTAACACTGAAATAGAATGCTGAACTTAAAATATTACAATCTAATTAAAAATATCTACTCTCTTAAACAGAAACACTCTTGAAAAGCGCAAAGCAACAGTCTAATAGAGATCTTTTTTTTACTTTTACCTGTGAATGAACACAATTCCTGTTTCCACATGAGAACAGTAGAATCTGTTGCATTTATTGGTATTAACTGGAACAAAAGACACTGCCAGAGGTGCCAACAAATGACGTTTTTCATATACTATTAGGGATAATTTCTCCTCTTTAATAAGTAAGAACAGATGACAGAAAGTAACTAAACTAAATGAAAATTAACAAACCAACTCTTCACAGCTCAGTTGTGTATATAAATAAACATATGCAAAATCTGCATATTACCTGTGAGCAAGGTTTCTGCAACCAAGGAAATATGAAAACTCCATGTAATACAGTCAACAAAATTATATCTATGAAAACCACATACTAAAATAAATGAAGTTATTTCATGTAATGAAATTCATTTGTGAAAAAAAATTATTTGTTGGTACACACGCTCTGTATTCTAACAGAGAATGAAAGCATTTTTCTCTCTAAGGTAGGTTTTAAAATTTAAATGTAGACAGCAACATTTCATTCCATCTTTTTTCCATACAGGAAATGTATTTGAAAACAGAATTAAAAACACAGTGCTAATCTTTTAAAATAGTTTTAAAAACCTACAGACCTGCAGCGCTTAAACGGTCTTATCAGTCTACATCCCAAAACGTTCTCACTAATAAAATGATTAAATAAATGTATTTTTAAATAATTGTTTGCACGCTGATGCAGATTTATTTTTCAGTTAAGTTTCTTCAAGAGTCATTAGCCTTTACAATTTAGATTTTTCTTTCCATAAACTGAAGATCAAAACAGTAACCTAGAGGAAGGGCATAAACATGGTGCAAACGCAGACTAAAATTTTAGTCCTCAAAAATTCTTCCTCTGTGCCTTTTCCTTTTAAGCAACAAAAGGACTTACTTCTTTTCAAATGAGAATTTTAGACTACAGAAAGGCAAGCAGGAACAACTGCCTCTTCCAAAACACTCCATGAAGTGTCACTGAAGGAGCAGTATCAGTGAACAGCTCATAGGTAACATAGAATATTTTAACACCATCTCTCAAACACCCAGTCTTAAGTATAGTACTGTCATTAATTAAAGAAGTAAAAGTATAGTTTTACAGGGCTTGTATAATCTTCTAAAAATATACAAAACACTATATTAAAATATAAACGTTGAAGTTACCTAATATTAATCCCACCATTGTACTCAAGTATCCGGTTCCACTACCCAGATTTAGAAAAGATAATCCAGGCTGAAGCTTCAGTGCTTCCATGACTTCAGAATAAATGCAAGGTGCTGACAAGTGTATATTTCCATGCTTCCAGGCCAAGTCTTTATAAGCATTGTCCCTGTATCCTTCCAGATAATAATCACCACGATCAATTGCTCTGAAGGCTTGCTCCACACTCTCAGTGCGAATGTACTGAGCTTCTTTCAAGTTATCAATTAAGTCATCGTTGTCTTCTCCAGCGCTCACAGCTCCTCCCATGCTGAATTTCTATGGTAATTCAATTAGTTTGCAAAATACATTAGGAGGAGAGTTTTCCCAGAAGTGTAAGTATGTAATGGATTCTCAGTTCTTCTTTCAGAAGCACATCACAAACAAATCCTGGAAAGTAGACATGTTTACATAACGTGAGTTTCAACAGAGAAATAAATCAACAACTATTAGAGAGTGATGAAATATTGTTAGTATTGATCACTCTACAAAGCAGAGCTCTCTATTAAGAGCCAGGACAGCTAGTATTTAATCAAAACTCTGCCCTTCAGATTTTAACTCAACCCAATGTTTTTCATCTTAACTTTAATATGTCAGCATGGGCTGTCTACATTAGCAAGCAATGCAGTGTAAGAGTTTACACAGACACTGAAAACAGTGCTAAGAACCTATCACCCATATTATATATATTTGGAGGGGACAGCAACTGCCTTTGGACTAGGCTCTAGTCCCATCCCGAGAAGTGAATGTCCAACAGCAGCTGGAGCACGTTCCAACTTAGATATATTTGAAAGGAACCGGCTTTACATGCTCTGAAATCATCCCCACAGAGGGAGACAAAGCCAGGTGAATGGTGATGTCCAGGAGATGGTTCTCAGATGTTCACTTTAGAGTTAAACCAGAATACTACTGCAGATACAACCACATATTGCTCTCTTCTGGATTCAGCACAGGAAACCCCTCTGAGTATCTGAGCTCCTCCTAATGCCTGTCATATTCACTAGAGAAGTATGAATTCCGTAAGTACCTACAAGTTTTCAACAGCTTGCTGGCTCTTAAGTGACTAGCAAGTTTCACAAATTCTACACAGCATATTCACTTCAAAATAATTCCTTCAGATCTGTATTTTATCTGCAGTTATTACATTATTAATCACTAAACTCATAAAATCCATATGTTAACATTTTTAATGTTGCATGAATTACCAGTAAAATAGCAACAGAAGTCTGGAAGAAAGGAAAATAAAAAAGTTTAATCCACCACTTCTAGATGAATAGAGTACCCATAGTGAGCTAGTTATTAACACTAATTACAAAATCAGCTTAGATAGACAAAAGAAGAAAAAGACCATCATGAATCTTGGTACACGTTCTAGGTAACCTAGCTAACAAAGGGGACAAAAAAAAAAAAACCAACCAAAGACACACTCACCCCGACTCTTTAATTGCATTGCTGAGTATCACCTTTTAAAAAATTCCACCTGCCTCTTCAAACAAGCATATTTCACCAAGCATTCTTTTTAAAATTATGAATGTAATCTTTTATCTGAGAATACTCCAACACAATTCAGAAAACTCCTGTTTTGTACATGCCTATTTGTGCACATTCGTGAGTCAGGAATTCACAAAAACAAGCCAGATACCTAAGGTCATTTCAGTTATCAGAATGAAGCTGGTTCCTAAGTTTACATTGTGGGGATCATTGCAACACAATTTTATGGTTCAACACTTTAAATGAAGAATCTTCTCAGAACACTAATGAATCCTTTTCCGTACGTTTAACGAGTCTCTATCAAAACGGTACTAATACACCTTTCCATAAAACCAAATAGAAACTTGCAGAAACTACAAGCAACTTCAAATTTGGTATTTTTTCCCCCGCATTGCAACATTAAACGAAGACTTTTGGAGTCTGAACCATTTTCCTGAAGGATTAAACAGCAAACAGCAATGATTCTGAAGTAAAGCACTGAAACATTCTTGCAAATGCAAAAAATATGCTCACGTGCCAGGTTATAGTCCAATGAGTAGATTCACTTTTCTGAACACCAAGCTCAGAATCAAGAGAGTACTAAAATTACTGAAGATCAGTTCTGAGCAGAGGGTGCATATATAAAGATCACTTAATCCTAAATAAGGGAAAACGACGATTAAACTTTGAAATCTGTTCTGGCTTGCTATTTTCTTCTTGCCTTAAAAAAAATTTTCTGCAGTATCCAACACCAAAGTTGCACAGTTCCTACCCCTCCCCTGTCTAGATGGCCATCACAAAACAGTCTTCCAATAAAGGAAATCTCATTTCCATTTGCAATTCTGACTGAAGACATGTTGCCTTATCCTTGCCTTGCATTAATTTACATAAAACACCAAGTCACTAATAAAGATGAACAACCATATAGTACCAGTGCTAAGATATACAGCTAGGTTTAAAATTTCAAGCACACAAGCTCCAATTACCAGATCATACAGTTACAATGCTTCTCCTTAACTACAAACATACCTAAGAAAGAAGGAGAGGGGAGAGGAGGAGCGGAATGCTCAGGGCTGCTAGAGCCCTGGTAAAATCATGGGTGAAATGATGACTGTTCACCACTCAGCTGTGTGCTTGTCTGAAGCACAACCAATTCTCACTGACATCCTGGAGTGGAAAGAGGTAAAAAGTCACCAGGCACAATTATCAACCAGCAGGAAAACCTTTGGTGAAAGTAGAAAAACTGTGCTTCTCAACATCTTAGTGTTCCAGAGCTGAATAAGTAGGCCTGTCTGTGTTTAATCGCACAGGAACATCCCTTTCTGTTTGTGAAAAATTTAGACAGGCAATGTGGAATTTAAGGGAGGATTTTTGATTTTTTAAAGTAAAAAATAATTTGTAAAAATATTCCAGCCCTGCTCGCTTGTCTGCGTTTGCATCAAACATAAAAGTTCAATGAACTGTTGAATCAAACAATAGTTAACAAGTTAAATAATCTACAGTGACTAAAACAACAGTTTTTGCCATCCCTTCATCCTAAAAAGTTCATGATTGTCTTGAGATATGTTTAGAAATAATTTTAACTAAAAAGTAAATGTAAGAACTGAATTTCTTGAAGACTAATGCAGCTGCTATATTTGAGAAACAGAAATACTACTTCCAGCCCTACCTGCAGCGTGCATTCACCACCTTGCACCAGCAGATGGAGAACTTCGCCAACTATCTACAGTCAACTGGCGAGCAGGCAAATACACAAACCACTCAGATGGAAGGAAGCTATTCTTCCAACATAAAGCTTTATCGTTTCTACCAAAAAATGTCTTTACTACTTTCACATAAAACTTCTTTCCCATACATAACATTTGCTAATTTCAATACAGTCATTACGCTCCAACAGAATTAATTTCTTCAGGTATTTTGTAATTTTATATTCTTGGTAGTATTTGACAGCTAAAGTTACTGTAGTATCACAAGATTTTCTACTGATGACACCCACCAAGCATTTCACCTTCATTAATGGTTATGAGAATCTCAGAGGCAAGAACAGAAAAGGTCTGGTACAGAGCATGATATTGTGGAAAGCCGGGGAGAAAACAGAGAGCCTCCTCTCAAGAATAGGATGCTTATGCAGCAGAACAGAGTGGCTAGTTGGAAGTGTGGCTGAAGGTTGTGTCTTATTCTGGGTATGCTGTCCTGGCTGAAAAAGGTGGCATTAGGTAGAGACAGTAATACGGTTTGCTTTTTAGATATCTTGCTTTTGGTTTGCTTTCGTTAATCAACTGTGGTGCTCTACTCTGGCCTCTACAGCTATAGGTAAGCAAAAATGCTACTCAAGTGGAAAGTATTTTTGTTAAAAAAACAAAAAACACCCTAGAAAGTTAAAGAAATAGATCTTTTCATTAAAAGTGACCTCTTGTGCTGCAGAGAAATATTTTGTGTTATCTTACTTCCCTCCAATGCTTTTATGTTTGTAAGCTTTTACCTTATGAAAATAAATTACTTGCTTCTAACAGAGGCAACAGATGTGTGAAGTCCGATACATTTTCTACTATTTTAAACACACAAAAGAAACCACTCCACAAGCTATTTCAGCACAGCTGGAGAAAAAGGGTGAGTTAGTCAAAGCTTCCTTGTGACAGCTGACCCAGGACCAAGATAAAGACAGCAGAGCATACTATGATAAAACTTTCTACATAGCTGCAAAGCTCACAGAAAGCATCCTGTGAAGTTCACCGATACCTAAATTGAAACGCATGCAGTTCACAAAGAGCATGAGCGGCATTCTGATGCCTACTACACCAAGAGGTATAGACATTTCAGAAGAAAGGGGAAGGGTGCATAACATTAACAAAATGCAGCAACTGCCTTTAGCCTCAGGAATCTTTGAAATACAGAAGCCAACAGAAATTGTAGTTTAGGAGTTAAAATTTCAATATAGTCTTGAATAAAAAAGTTCATTCACTGATTAAAAGCAACTACAGTTAAAAAAAACTCTGTTTCTCATTTCACACTATTCATTAAGTTATTTTTACAAGTTGGAACACTTTAAGTTTCTTATATTCACAATAAAAATGAAATGTCAACACACTTTCCAATTTCTGTAAAAATCCACACAACTGTATCACAATACCTCTGACCTGTTTCTGACCTAACTTGTAACCAATTTTACTGGAATTCCTTATCATAAATAATTTCTGATTTTTTTTTTCCTTTTTTAATATTGTCACATTAGTTGAACAGGTGTTCTTTGGCTATATGAATTTAAGTAGTGCTGACAATTTGAGTGCATTTTAATTCTTCACCATTTTATAAGCTATGCAAAACTCTTATCTGAGAAGTTAGTAACCAGATGTAAGGTTTGCCAAGTTTTTTTGCCAGCTCTCAAAGGGACTCAAGTTTTGCACGTTTCAGAATATTTACAAATACATTCGCACTTCAAGTTAATTCCTTAGGTCACTAAGGACTGCACACTCTCTTAAATATAGATTAAATACCACGCTAGCAAGGTATCCAGTTAATTTGACAGACAAGACTTTGCCTTTGCTAAATCCATAAAATGTCAAATATCTCACAAATTTAGTATCCTCTAATACTGACACATCCTGACTCTACGTAGATGACTCCTTAAAAATACAGGTTATTTGAGCCTACTAACTTGACTCTTATTTTTTTTCAAAGGGTGAAAAATAGAAAATATAGTAAATGGGATCAGCCATATTTCAAGTCTCCTCCTCAGAACTATTTTCACTAAGATACCACCTTGGAGCACACCACAACACGCTGAATCAAGACTGTGATAC